GTTGTCCCAGTTACGCGCCAAGCATAACTTTAGCCAGCTACAGCAAACACGAAGAGCGCAGCCAACAGCAAAATATTTACAAAATATTCATTGATTTGAAGCCTGGTCTTAGTGCTTTGTGCTTTGTGTTTTTGTAGCTCACAGCTCGTAGCTGTTGTTTGCTGTTTGTTTGCTGTGCTGTGGTTGTTCGATTTAGATCATTTCTTTGTGGCATGTTGCAATGCAGCCGCATAGATTAATCAATGGCGTTACATAATGCAACAAAGAGCCAAATGAGAGTGGCGATCGCCAATTGATGCGGGCGGAAGTTCTGGAAGGTGCCACAGCATGTGTCGTGTCTTCCCTTGCGTCGATTGCTGTGACTGAGGGTTCATGCGTCGTATGCGTAATTTGGCTGGCTATTTAAAATTACGTATACGCAGTATGCGCCGTGCTGCTGCCCAGCAATTATGTGGGCCGAATCTGTGTCAGTCAAACAACAGACGTGAGGAGGGTGGTGCGGGCAGCCAACAATTTCCGCTAGTCAAACCAAACGCTCAAATCGATTGCCCACAACAGCAGCAACAACAACAACAACAACAACAATAAAGCGAGCAATAAAAAATCACTTGATTTGCATTTATAGCCAACAGCCGCTGTCGGAGCCAAAGTTTGTTGAGCTGGTCTAAAAACTGGGCGTGGGAACATGCAGATCCCAGCCATGAATCCAGAGCATGGAGCCCAAGCAGTTGGGCACCGGGCACCACAGGGCAGGGCGCGCTGCCAACAACTTTATTATGCAAAGTGAAGCGATTTGATGACCGTTCGGGGGCGTTCGCCTTCCATCATGATTTGCCTTTAATGACAAAGTATTTAGCTGCCTGGGCTGAACTAGTTAAGCAAAAGGGCGACAGCTGCTGCTGCTGCTGCTGCCAGCACACCTTAATATATCTAACTAAATATCCAATGAACATGGATTAGGAACATGAATTGTTCACTTTGGCTGCGAGCAGAGAATTGTTTCGATTTCTGTTTCAGTTGAGCTTAATTAACACGACATGCGGCCAAAAGACTTGGCAGCTAACTAGACAGATGCTACGAGGAGCTCGCGTTGGCAAACGATGCGAATTTTTATGAAATAGCAGTAAGAGTGGCTCAGTCGGGAGTGCACGACTGGGACATACCCTGAAGAAGTCGATTAATGTATATAAAAATTTATTTTTTTTAGAACCATAATCCACATTTGGTTGCTTTAATCGCTTTAAATGAACCCATATAACAAGCGGCAGCTGAGATGCAAGTCTCTATCTCTTCGAACTTCTTAGTAAATATCGTAAAACTTAATATTAAATTTTGTTTTAAGGTATTTATTATTACATAAATTATTAATAATATAAAGTACCTGGGTCAAAAAACATTTGAATATATAAAAAATATTGTGATTTAAAATATTTATATTTATAGGATTTTTAATTCAGTTCAAAAACTTTTTTGGTATTCGTATTGAATATGCTTAAAAAAGGCTAAAAAAAGCTAATAGCTCAATACAAATATTTTACAAATTTTTATAATATAATATATATATATATATATAAGAATTATTATAATATAAAAAACATATTACCATAGAGATTTTTAAAAAGTTTTCGTATGGATTTTTGAGCAGAAATACTTTTGGATTTTGTATCTGAAATGCTTTCCAATGACGTACTTTTTCACTTCAGGCTTAGAATATCTAGAGTACTGGACATGATATAAATATAATATATTAATTTATAGATATAATATATATTAGTATATATCTAATAAAATTCAGTTTTAGAACATGAAAACACTTCAGAACGGTCTGATTTTCGGTTAACTAAATTTTATCAGAATGTTAGCTTTATTTTTCTTAAGGCTTCTAAATTCTGATAAAAAGAAAAAGCAAAGAAACCTAGAAACTTTTGCCCAGCTTTTTCTCTCTCTCTTTTATCATTATCTTTCTAATAGTAGAGCTTATAAGGGTTAAGTCAAGTCAACACTCTATAAATATTATATTCATATTATATATATATATACATATATATATATATATATATATATATATATATATATTTGTAGTGTTGACTTGACTTAACCCTTATAAGCCCTTATAACCCTTATATATATATATATTTAAAGGATAACAGTAAAACTTATTACAGGCCTAGCCAGTTACTCAGAGATATATGCTTGAAATCGAAGCTAATCTAGCTTTTATTCGGCTAAGTGGCGCAGCACTGGCTCTGATCACTTCGAATGCTCGCTCTGCTCTGGCTACTCTGGTTTCTCTGGCTAGCTGTGGCTGTGGCTGTGGCTTTGGGTCTGGCCAATGGGTTGCATGTTGGTCAGGCAGCTTGATTGACACCTTTTAACTACCGTGGCGCAATTGGAGCCGACGACTTTTGCGACTCTTGTGTTAAGTTATTCACTTTGGCAGCGGCAAAGCCAAAACACAACACAAAACACAACAAACCAAGCCCCGTGACATATTTAGCAGCCAAACAAAATGAATAAAACCAAAGCAGATCTTTCGCAATAGCGACTCCATTAGCCTGACTTAATTCCGCTGTGTTTCCAGGATTCCCAATTCCGATTTCGATTTCGATTTCAATTTCCATTTCAGTTTCGATTTCAATTTCAATTTCAATGTCCTAGAGTAAAATAGTTGAAATTGAATTTGTCCACTGATCGCATCTATAATTATAATAAAAGGGGCGAAGAGAGGCGAGGGGGGAGGGTTGCCCAGCCAAATTGCAGAGCTTACATAACACAAAAGACCCCTCCCCCCTCGATGTCGATGGCTCGATTGGCAGCTGCCACGCCCAGTTACCAGTTGCCAGCAACCAGTCCAGAGCAGCAGTTCGCGTGGCCCGAGTCCCGCTGTGCGGCGATTGCAGCAGTTCGCTTGAAAAATATTTGCACGTCGCATATTTAGTTAGCATAATTTGCTCTCTAATTCTCACTGACAGTTTAAGAATGTGACTGGTTCGATGCAATTGCTGCTGCTGCTGCAGTTGTTGTTGTTGTTGTTGTTCGTCATTGTCAACACTGTTTTTTTTATTGCTTCATTTTTAGATTGGCACATTGCATATTATTTATAAGTGCAGCTAACTAAGTCGCAGCCAATCAGCAGCAGGGCAACAGCTCCAATTACACCCACCGTTCAGTGGCGCCGCCTAGCGGCCGAACCCGGCAATGCCAATCTGCAGTCACTAATTGACGGTTGCGCTGGAATATCGCCTGTTGTCACATGCTAAACGCGATCTATCCATGCATTATAGTCTATATATCATGTCAGCGTTGCGTTTCAGCCAACATTTCAAATTTAACATAACATCGACTGGCCCAGCGACTATCAACTAGTTAGTTTATTATTCGCCCGCTGCACAGCATCGCTACTCCTATACATCCTCTTTACAATATATGTAATTAACAATGATATCGAAAGTGTTTAACATGCACTAAAATAAGAAACTCTCTTCATCACTAACGTTCAGTTGCTGTTGATCTTTTATTGCCTTTGTTTAGCTCACATTGCCTGATCTTGAGCAATGTGTGAAATTTAATTAGGCTGGCGTAGATCTGTATTACAGTGGTTTTTAATGATACCTTGATGAAATTATACTACATCAAGAACACTAAAATTCATCAATATTAACAGCTCTAGAGATCGCTAAAGAATTAATTGTTTTCAACTGGGGGAGAGTCCTGCAGTGACTTTTCGCCGCTCAGTCACATTGAGCAACTTATGACCATCTGAACTAGAGGTGGAGAGCAATCGATGGCACTATCGATGTTTGGGCTCTATCAAGCCACAATCGATAGTAGCAGACACTTTCGATAGTGGGCTTCTCTATTAAAAGCCTATTCTGCAAGTACCCCCACCTTCCCGCTACGTCCGTAGAATCTGAAAGGGCATTCAGCAAGGCGGGCCAAATTATTTCGGTTAGGCGGACACGACTTAAAGAAGAAAATTTAAACATTTTCTTGTTTCTGAATCGTAACTTTTTGTTAAAATAGAGCACAATTTTCTTATATGTGTCGGGCTATACCATCGATGGTTACAGTCGTTGAATATCGATGGTGCCCACATCGATATTTCTCCACCTCTAATCTGAACATCAACACGATCGAGTATGGGAACATACGAAAGCACAATTGCCAAATGTTAAGTTATTAAATATGCCTTTGAAATAAAGCATCAACTTTTGTATCTCAATCATCTGAGTGAAACATGAACTGTTGCATCTCAAAATATATATTAAGTGCCTATAACTGCTGTGTTTTTAAGACACTATTAAATGAAACGAAAAAGCGAGCAATTGATAACTTAAAGAATCCAATCAAATCCAGTTATCAAATCAGAGACACCTGGAAATTGATGACTAATTCTAACTTTGATACCTCATGTAAGTCGTTCAGTCTTAGTTAAGGACTTACAAGAGTCAAAACTAATAAAAAGTAATGCTCCAGTCGGGAGTGCTTGACTAGGAGATATCTTAAGCTATAGGACGGTAAATAAAGTAAGTACAGCTTTCTAGGTATTCCCATATATGCTTTAGGAATATATATATATATTAAATTTACTAATTCTATTTGCTTCGTCAGCTGTTTTTGATATTGGTTGTGATACTATGAAGTGTCTGTTTCTTTAGTTTTAGGTCGATACTGAGTAATAGCCAAAGATATCTCTGGAGCTCTGAAGGAGGCTTTAGAGTCAATCAAACTCTGCTAACGATCCACATAGAAAACTCTCTCTGGATTTCCTAAGAAGACTTCAAAGTCTATCAAACTCTGCTAATGATCCATATATAGATAGAAAAGTTGAAAACTCTCAACTTTTACTCAGCTATTTGTCACCTTCTATCTGTAAATGTTCGTCTTAGTCTTAATTTTTGTCTGATAATTGAAAACGTCATAAGACTTGGGCTTATGGCAAATGCATTTCCGTTCCACTTGGCTCTCAATGGGCTCGACTCTTGTGGCTTTTTGCTTACCTTTGGATCTTAAGATATCACAGAATGGTTGTTTTGCATTTGCTGGAACGGCAACACTTGTTTGTGATCTCGTTGTTGTTGTGCTTGTTGTTGTAAATAGCAGCAACAATTTGTTAACTGCTTTTCACACCTGTCCTCAAGTTTCTCTTCAATGTGCTTTGTTCGTTCTAATTGCTTCTGGCTATAAATTTGCGCACTTTTCGTTTGTTGTTGTTGTTTCCCTTAGGTAAATTAGTTGAATTTCTGGCAGCCTTTTAGTCGCTTTTCAATGCAGCTGTCACTCTTGGCCAACACTTGTTGCTGTTGCTCTACATAGTGCATAGGCAGCGACAAGAACAACATGACGCAGCCCAGCGTCAATTGGGGCACTGCAAACAAAAATGACAAAGAAAAAGGTTATGGTATGAGAATATATAAATATATATAAAATATTTATTTAAAATACAATAATATTTTATTATATTATTATATATTATACATATTTTATATATAATAATATTTTAAATATTTTATATATTTTTTATAGGCATTTTATTTGTTCAATTTTATATATATTTTTATGTTCGAAAAGGATCTGAAAGACCTGTAAAACATAGTGCGCCTTAATCGCCACATTCAGTTGGAATCGTTGGAATTCTTACTCGGAAGCATAGATGCCTAGCAAAGATGCCCACGTAGCTTTAAAGAAGGTGGCAAATCTTTGCTGCATTTGCGTTGCTTCAAAGAAAGGCCCAAGCGCCACACAAGTTTCCATTAATTCCCATATATTGTAATTGCTCAAACAAATTCTTACAAATTCCGATTATATTAAGCTTCTGCAATTCCTGTTGACTTCCAACTTTAAGATTGCAAATGCTTTAAGCTGTCATCCTGAGGACTATTCACAGAGGCCATAGAGCCATTCGAGCATTCGACTCCCTTCGAGTTGCAATCCTCCCAGATATTTTGAAAAACTCAAGCATAAATTTAAGCTTTTCACATTGAAAAATGCATATGAATCTCATTATATGTGATGTGAAGGAAATGATGAAAGTTAACCTCTCACATATATGTTATATACGAATAACAGAATGGTAAAGGATTTTTATTTTAGAGTTTCTCAACTTGGGTTGGCAACACTGTTTTATTTAGCAAACGCATTTCGCAACTGATAGTTGCTTTCTATTAAGTTTTGCTTGACATTTTATTATAGACTTATAATAGAAAAACGCTTGCCAATTGTTGAAATGTTGGTCAAAATAAAGGTTATGTTCGTCAAACTTCGTCCACTTGAAGACGTTGAATGGGTACATAAAAAGGCAGATTTGTCGTATTTGAAGTGAGGATGAGGATGATCTACAAGTTGAAGTCAAAACAGAATTACATCCACAGGAAATTACTGTTTATGAGCAAACTGGCGGAGTATTTGGTTAAAATGTCTTCACAAAACGACGATGGTCATAATTGCAATGATTGGAAAAATTGGAGTGCGCCTTATATGCTCAGCCATGGTGACCACATAACCGAAATCATTATTAAACATTAATGTCATACAAACTTATATCGAATTAAGCTCGTTTCATTAATTCTAAAAATATACTTCTTGGTTTTACTATACCTCAAACTTGTCCTACTCTAAAAAAAGCACCCGAAATAACTAGAACGAGTTGAGCTAAGCAGTGGGAAACGTGTTGAAAGTGGTGCGAAGTTGAGCGACTTTGCACATTTGGTGGATGGCAAAGGCAGAAATAGGTATAGTTTTATATTTAATTTGTTTCGAAGGCGTAAATATATAGAAATCGGGTAGACGGAACAGCTGCAAGTGCAATTAGCGAGTAGAACAGAGAAACGTAATGAAGCAGCGCCAAGGTTTTTATGGCCAATTACTGGTCTGGTCGGGGTCCGGGCCCCAGCTCGATGCCATTGAAATGGAACGCAAAGCCGCGTGAAGAAAAAGCCAACAATTATATTAGCTGAAAATGTTGAAATGGAATTGCTTAAAATGCGTAATTAGCATTTTAATGAGTGCTTAATTAAGAGATTTATAAACGGTAACAGACTGCTCCCAGGCCGCGCGGCGCCGCGCCCACAAATCTATCAAGGCTGATTCGGGTCGGGTCTAGGTCTAGGCATTGGCATTGCAATCAGTTCTACCTCGTTGTAATCGTCGGTGTCGTCGACATCCGCAGCGACATCGTCATGCAGTTGCAGGCGAAAGGCGGAAATCGTTCGATCCAATGAGCGCACGCTTCAGGAATTGACCAAAAGTTGCCAAATCAGAGGGGGGAGGGGGAGGGTCTACTCACACTTCACTTGGCCATCTCGAGCTGAGAGTGTGTCACAATGCATTTGGATATGTGGCTCTTTGATAGTTTCCCGATTCAAGTGAAGCTCGAGTTGGGCAACACTTGACGCCCAGTTAATTGCTTGCAACACACACACACACATACAGAGAGAGAGAGAGAGACACACGCAAGTGGCACACACATTTTTCCAGCTGTTTGCTCAAATCTGCTTGCTCAGTACATCAAAATTACATTAGTTAGGCGCTAAGTCAACTCTAGATATATATATATATATATATATATATATATATATATATATATATATATATATATATATATATATATATTATATATATATAGGTGTATATATAGAGCTCGACTTAACCGACCCATATTTATCTGTCTGTACGCATTGGTTTTAGGTGTCGATGTGTTAATTAGTTTACGTTTTCTTGCCTCACACTTAGCTCTCCCCTCTCCCCTCTCCCCTCTCCCCTCTGCACTCTCCACTCTTAATGATCGCAATGGAGCCCGAGCACAGCGCTTGGGAATGCTTACACACGGCGGTTCCCCAACCACGACCTTACCCACAGCAGATTAAATACTATCTATGCTTATAGTTTGTCTAGCTTTTAGCATTACCTTCTTAGCTTGTTATGGGAATTAATAGGTAAATCAAAGAAAAAACAAAAAAAATTATTGGCTATAAAACTGAAACCAAACAAAGATATTTTTATGAGTCAACAACAATTAGTAAAAATTACTAGATTAACTAGATTTGCATATAAAGAAGAGAAAATTGAATGAGTTCTTAAAGATGACAGCAGTAAGGAGTGCCTGACTAGCAGTTACCTTGCCGACTATGAAGAGCAGGAAGAAGTATCCATGATGATGATGATTCTTTACCAATTAACTAGAGAGTGCAGAAGTATTCAAAGTATGAAGTGTCTGACTAGCATATACCTTGTCCATTATGAATAGTGCGAAAGAGTATGCAATGCATGAAGTGCCCGACTAGCAGATACCTTGGAGATTATGAAGAGAGCGAAGGGCTTGAAGTACTTGTATACACTTCTACTTTCTTTTGCTTGCATGCTTTGCTGAGTTGAAGAGTTTGACGTATGCTCAATCACTTGATTTAATTAGTTTCAGCGGAATGTAAAGGCTTATCGATTAACAGTTGAGTATCTAGCTCGACGAGCCAAGTCTAAGTCGAATCAACTCAACAGAAATACATGTACCTCTTAGCTGTTCGAAAAGCTTGCACAAAACAAGATAATACATAATTCCTTGAAATGGAGTAAGATCGATCTAGACTGAGACTTTCAGGCTGCAGTGACTGTGACTTCAGCAACATGCATCGCAGAGTTCAGTTATCAACGCCACTGAGAGACTTTGAGGCAGAGACGTGCCACGACTGCCTGAGCAGACGCACGATGAAGCCCCAAACTGCAAGTGTCAACATAAAGCGAGATCGACTAGAGGAAAAGCAGCTGCTGTTGCCCTTGAAATGCTCGGACGGCCTTGGCGCTTGCCCAAAGGTGGAGCAGCTGAGCAGTCGATGGATTCGTTGTCGATACGTTTAACCGAAGCCTAAATGGGAATTTGAATGCTTTCCGTTGGCCAAGTGCTACACATCACTCGCCGCAGCAACAACAACTCTATTATGCATGAAACGCCGGCTCGATCAAAGCGCCAAAGACATCAACAAAATGATTGCAGAGGCAGCCAAAAGTTTGTCGGTGATTAAACAATGATCGTAAAAGACAACACACACAAAAAAAACAATTATTGCTGAGAGGTGGCAAGAGGGTTGCCAGGTAGCAGGTAGCAGGTAGCCGACGTCATGCTGTCGATCGGTACGTGAGGTCGACAAATGTTTTACGCGAGATGCCAAATGAATGAATTGAATAAATTGAATGAGCGAATGCAGCCGAAAAGCAAATGAATCGATGCTGGCTGCACTACGAGTCCAAGCCCCAAGCGTGAGATTGTGCGAGCGGAACTCGTAAATCAATGTTGTTGTTGCTGTTGTTGTTGCTGCTGACGATTGTCGTCAGCATCTGCCACAGCCGCTGCCAGCTCAGTCCTAACTAACCGATCATCATCAGGCGTTAAAACGTTCGATAAGCGTCAAAACGCTTGACTCTTTGATTAATCGTCTTGCGAGTTGCAAGTGGAGAGTGTGAAGCGGAGACTGGAGAGTGGAGAGTGGAGCTGGCGGAGCTGCCGCTGTCTGTCGTGCCACTGGGGGCATTAATTGGGCGCAAGCTGCAAATTCGACTAACGTTTAATTGACGAACGGCTCGTCCGATCGTGCCACACGCATTTGTTGCCACATGCAACTGCCGCAGCAACAGCAACAACAACTTAGGGAAATTGCAACACCATTCGGCCAAGCTCTCTGCACAGTCCGATATCCGGTTGACTTCGAATTGTTGTCGAACAACTTATTAAATCATTTTTCTGCATATTTCGTGCCTTGCAACAAGCAACCAAAAACGAAACCTCTCAACAAAATTGGGGAAAAAAGCAGCCCATAAAAATAAGCAAATAATACTATTGACTTGGGCAGTGAGTAAATTAAAATGCAACGGAAATGGCAACTCAAGCGCTCTGTACGAACCGTATTTAAGGAAAACTTTCAGATCCAAGAATCGAATGGATATATCTCAAGTCGGATATACAAACTGCTCAGGCATTATCGCTCTCTAATGAATGACTGAATGACTAAGGGAGTGAGCGCGTGACTACTCACAGTCTATCGGAGCGTTAAGCTAAAACTCCACAACATTGTTGCACTTTGTCTTTAAGTTGGACACAGACTTTAGCTTAAGTGTGCTTAGTACAGAGTTTCATTTCAATTCGATACAAATATTTGATATAAGATAGGGTAAAGGTGGCAGGAATAGGGCAAACTGTATCTCCCACGGATAACCCTAGAAGCGGAGCTCACTTAAAGATCCAGAGTAAAGAACAACAAATCGGCAGTGCCTGACTGGAAGATAAGCAGAAGCCTGCGTACAGCTGATATTCCCATCATTATACTCTTCTCTGCCACGCGCTCTGCTTGCCGCGCAGTCAACACAGGCAGCGCTTGGGCTGCGCCTCCTTATAAACTTAAGCATGGGTCATTAGTTGTTAAATAACTTTGCTTCTAGATGCACTTTCTCAGCCAAACTCGGTGATAGTGACATTCAAATGTGGCTAGAGCAGACTTTTTAGTATTGTGAAATAAAATATAAAATACTTTATGGAGTCTGCCACATAATACATCAATATACCCTATGTGCTTAGTATAGAAATAGAGTCTTATTAGTTCATTTTATGCTCTGCTTTTGGTTTGTGGCAGCAGAACCAGCAACGTTATGATTTCATAAGACTTCAACTCGTGCGAAACGCATTTTCTCCTCTTAAAACTCAGTTGCTACTCCAGACAGTTGGCAGGTTTCAGCAAAGCTTTTCCTGATTCTGGCCAATTTCTTCACAGCTTTTAATGGTTAATAGTCAGCTGTAAGCCCAAAGTTTGTTTCTCTAAGTATTGCCATAGCTCACATTGTTTTAGTATTGGCAGTGGTCCGGTTTTGCGTGTAACGGTAAAGACGTAAAGTTCTCAGTGTGAAACGCTTTCACGTCTGGTTGACCTGTGACACCTGAAAGTGGCTGAAGCGACACCTGGCATTAGTTCAAGTGCAGCTCGGCACGAATGAAAGTGTTTGCGAAACTGAAAGACCTTGGCAATGCTCAGAGGTAAGACTTCTGTGGCAGCAGCATGGGCCAGATCAGGATCTGGAGTATATTTCCATTCATGCTCCACTCCAGGTTCTCACGAGCAGTGGGTGAGCGCTGTGGCAAGCGGAGCTAAGCAAAGTGTAGTCGGCGTTTCTCATGGGTTTTCACCTGCGACTTTTCGCTAAATCCCATGCACTTTTGCACTTGCTGCTGTGGCACACAAGTTAACGGGCCACGCCCACAAACGCCCATTGTTTGTGAAGTATGTCGAGAAAGTTTTCGTTTTCGTTTTCGTTTTTATTTTCAATTTCTGTTTGCTGTTTGCAGCTGGTTTTACGGCCCTCCAAGTGAAGGCAAGTGTCAAAGAGCTCTCAAAAATTTGCTGTGACTTGCGGTAGTTAAATGCGCGACATTTTACAACACTTAAGCAGGGTTGCCCAACAACACTAAGCCGAACCGAAATTCACACTTTGACGGAGATCTTCCACTGAAATGCAAGACGCTAACTTCGCAGGCAGCCGGTAAATGTGACCTGTCCGCAGGGGCCTAAGGAACTTCTAGAATGTGCTTCATCTGGCGAATCTTATGAGGATGCTGCTATCGAAGTAAGTTTGATGTCTCTAACCACGAGTGCTCGTGTCGCGAGTGTTCCCCAAGGCGCAGCTGCTTAAAGCATTCTAGTGCTTATCTGCATAAGCATTAATGGAAGCGCAAGTATACATAAAGAACTATATATATACTAAGGCCTGTTATAGACACGAATGCAAGCAATTTATATTCGAAAAGCAAAAGATGCAACTTTAAGGATTTCACTCTCTAAACTCTGCCCGTCCTCAGGTTAGCGCCCACTTTTTATTCTTTTAGCTATTATCTAAGAAATTCAATTGACAGCTCTACAATATTTATCCATTAAACAGCCATAAATTCTTTTTAAAATTCAATAAAATTGGCTGCTATAACATTCAATATATTTTAAAAATTATTAGCAGAAGAAGCGTATAAGAAACGTTATATAAATAATTTTGAGCCTAGGCAAAGTTCCAAATGTTATTTAATTTGTTATTTGTTATATTGTTGTATAACTCTCGCTCGCTTTATGACATCAAATAAAAGGTAAGCACAACTTCATACCTCAGCACTCGAGTTAGTAGCGCCACAAGCATTGAGCCACCTTCACATCTCTTGACCCAAGCAGCAGTTGACCCAATTTTGAGTCAAGACAAAGTTTCTTAATATGATTAAATGTTTTCCTTAATAGCTTCTGTGCTTCGAACATGCCATTGACATTGCCTTTGTCAAAGTAACAATTAATTTCTATCAATTAATAAATTATTGAAACTATGTCAAATTAACTATCCAGCTGCCATAGAGGAGTCAAACGGAAATGTGGTTGGCTACATCTTTTGGCTAGTAAATATGAAAGCAGTGCAATTTGGGAACTTCAGTAGGCATGACGTACGGTCTAGAGGGTGGTCTGCGAGTTGGCCTATTGAAGTTGGCCCTTTGGCTGTGACGAGTTCGCGAGTTTGCTGAGCCAACTAGGCAGCCTTTCGATAAATGTAGAATACGGAAAAAAGAACATAAACACTTAATTAAAAGCAATTTTAGTGTAAATTGAACAACACTGCAATACTCTTCCAAGTGCAGGTATGGCCATGACAGATTCGTCTGTCACATTTTTATCGAGTCTATCGAGAGAAGTCAATTAAACTTTCTGTGCGTAGAAGCCAATTTGTCAAAATCTTGAATGCAAACGCGTTTCATTCCCTCTTTTACACCATGAACCACGTCCGATTAGAGACTAGAGATGGTTTCCTTATACGCATCGACTTCGAGGTGCTGCGTCGCTCGAAGGTCGTTCAGGATATGTGTCAGAACAGCTCGGCCGATGGCACACACCAGGAGCTGATACTGCCGCTACACGGCATCGATCACGAGGTCCTGCTCAAAATTCTGCTCTGGATGGAGTACCACATGGCCGACGAGGAGCCCATCTGGGTACAAAATAAAACGGAGCCCGTCGACATCGAACGCCACATCGACGACTGGGACAAGGAGTTCCTCCGCGAGAAGCTGGCCACCGTGCGGGCCATAATGAAGGGCGCCGACTACCTCAACTTACCCTGGCTGGTAAAGCTCTGTGCTCGCAAGCTGCGCATCCGCGGATCTGCCGAACTCTATCTGCGCACTCTGGGTAACATAGCACCCATCGATTAGTCCACATAGTCTGTACACACTGTATGTATTAGTATACTAGATAATATTAAATGTATATAATATTATTACTATAATTACACTTGTTTTTGATGCGTGTGGCGAATCCTTGTGACATATGTCAAATTAGACTGGATTCTGTCAAGAGATCAGAAGCTTTTGCGTTTTCAGTTTCGAGTTGCCAAAAGCAAAACTAAAATTGATTTTCCTTGTGCCTTACCCAACTCTCCTTCCAGCCCAATTCTGCAATTTTCTTGGTATTCGCAGCGCAGCATTAAATAATGCATTTTTCGCGTGCTGCACATTCATTTCCATGCATTTTCATGTTGCTTTACTCTACTTGATATATACCCTTTCCCAATATATACACTGCAACTATCACAACTCATGTAACACAGCACGTTAGACTTAGCGAAATATTATTGTATTTACGAATTAGAAATCATGAAGGCTTAGGTATTATGGGAGACAATTAAAGTATTTACAAAAGCTTACTGTATTTGATGAAATTTAGTTAATAAGTTAACTTGCTGATTCCAAATCTGACAACTGAATAATCGTAGCTTTTTAAATAAGACATTTAAGGCGAATGAAGTACTTTTTCGAATACCTTTAAGAACTGAAATCTCTCTTTCTTCTTTCTCTCTCTCTCTCTCTCTCTATCTATCTATCTGTTTATCTATCTGTTTCTTCCTCTCTCTCTCTTTCAGTCTCATATATCCCTCATACTCTCTCATATACCTCTCTTTCCGCACATTTTTGTCACTTGACAATTCTCGGATTAGAATTTAGCATATGAAAAACCTGCGCAACAATATTATCAAATTCTTGAACTTGGTAAGGGCCTTATGTAAATAACAGTTATTATATGTGTAAAGAGTATTGAAACTTCGACATTTTTATTTTCATTGAATTTTTGTTGTTGCTTTTGGCTTTCAATTGATTTCGTTGTTCGCGCTGTTGTTGAACGCCTTTGTCAACGATTTATGCGAGTGAGTGCAATGTTGTTATTGTCCGCTCACACGCATGCGCAACACCAGCAACACCAGCAACAGCAGCAACATTAGCAACATCGACAGCAACAGCAACAAATGCGATTTGCAATTTTCACTACATGGCAAAAAATAGTATTTGGAATTTGTTGACTTCTTCATTTGCATTTCGTCGTAATATGAATGCAATTTTATTGCATTGCCCATTGAGCAAATGGCCAAATGGCCAAATGGGAAAATGACCAAATGGCAGCTGGGCCCCAGAGACCCACCTTGGTGAAGTACTATAATTAAATCGCATTAATTGCACAGCCACTGCACTCGATTGCCGCAATTGTGAGAACCATCGTTGGCCGCCGACAATTGGAATTGGAATTGAAATTGAAATTGGAACATGGAATACGGAATATGGAATTCGAAATTCGGTATGTGGAATGCGAAGTGCGGCGATTGCACAATAAATTGCCGGCAATTTGTCGACTCTCATTATGCATTCGATTCGAACTCGAATCTCAATTTCAATTTCAATCTGGTTTCGAATTCGAGCATTGAAAGACCTGCCAGACAAATTGAAGCCATTTATTTGCTCGCTTCGAAACGTGCCCAGAGCCCCGCCAAAGCCTTCAGTGATTAACTCATTAGCATTTACTTCATATGATCGCTTATGCAGAACTATTCTGAATGCATAATGCATGATTCGTATTATTCATTATGATTATTAATTATGTTATCCCGCCACCTCTTTGGGGCTCATATTTTAATGAACTGTGATATATTTCTGTATTTTTTTTTGACTATTTCTACTGCCTTCACATCAGGTCTTATGCTTTGCTTAAGGTAGGAAAAATATTTATACTATATATATATATATATAAAAGCCTTGGCTTGTGGTAAATACACATGTGAAGGCTATCCCACGTTTAGCTGCTTATGCCAAGCGGACAATGCACGCAAAAGTTATTGAACGAGAAGTGGAAAACTGGATTCAAACTTAAGCAGAGCCTCTTCCAATCCAAGATCCATTTACCGCCCAATGGCAGTTGCTATTGGTTAGCCCAGCCCTGTCCGGTAGTTATCCCAGATGCCAGATGCCGTTCAAGTTCGTGTAAATTGTTTATGGTAAGCAGACAATGAATCTAATCACAACAAGTGAACAGCGCGAATGAAGTCTCAAATGCTTGTGTGGACTGGAGTATTATTTATTTATTTATTTTATATTTTTTTGGGGCCTTCGCTGTGTATTTTGGCAGCTGTAATTGAAAAGCGAACAACCGCAACGCGAACCGCAACAGCGAAAAGCGGCAACAACAAATGAAAATGGATTTGTTGCAGCTAACGATGCTGATGATGTTGATGCCGATGATGATGATGATGATGATGATGATGATAATGATTCAATGTTGGCAATGTGAATGATGATGATGCGCGTGCCGAGGCGCCATTTGCCGTTTGGCTAACCAAAACGATCTCTGCGCAAATTTGTTAACGCTTCCGGCCAGGCAACAGAGCCGAGCCAAGACTTAAGCTGAAGCTGTAGATGGAGCTGGCCAAGCAGCCTGCCCACCTGCCACAAACGTGCTACTGTTATAACAACAACAACAATAACAACAGTTGCATTTAGCCTTTTGATAAGTTTCAGACATTCACTTTACCTTCTCATTCAATGCCAAAGAAAAACGCGTCATAATTTCCGCGCTGCTTTTCACAACGCCAAAATAAGACGAAGTAGAAGAAGAAACACATTGAATTTCAAGTTTCGACTCGACTTTGATTTGAATGGCAGCGGGTGAAAGATGAGATTGCATTTTATGCATCGCTATGCACATGCAATCACCAATATAATTATCGAGCCATGGCCATGGCTATGGCTATGAAGCTGGGCTCCTGACATAATAGAAAACTCCTTATATGTGGCAAGCGAGCACTCACCCATACATGCAACATATATATATATATTTATCTATAAATATGTATATGTCACTTTCGATTTAGTTGAGAGCAATTACTAGAAACTCAACTGCCCGGAAGCCGTGCCCAAATGTCCGTTGCTCTCTGATCTCCGATCTCCGAAGCGCTCGTTGGGCTGGGCAAATGGGGGGCAAAAAAACGTTGTCGGGCAGCCAGTTTGGTTAGAACCACACGGCCAGACCCGTTAATTATGGCCAATAAATATTAGCTGCCAAAAGTGCAATAAAGCAGCGGCAAAACGGCAATAAAGCCAACTAAAACACAAACCGTAACAAGCGGCTCAGGCCCAGCCGAACTTCGACTCGGTCTCCGGCCACATATGGGATTGGTCATATATCATGGTAGTTAATTGCAGTCGATTGTGGCTAGAGGTTCGCATTGAGGCTCCGCCACACAAACAACTCTCAAGCCAAAGAAGCTTACGCACCAGTGTGCACAGTGGTGCAACTGCACTTAGCATCTATCGAAATATTAACTTGACTTGGTCAAACTATGAAGCAAATTTATTAAATTTATTTATATTGTCTCTGTGAAGGAGGCAACCAGTGATTGAGCCGTGAAGATTCCGGTTCCTTTCTAGTTGAGCCCAATTTATCAAGCCCCCACAAATTGATCAAGTTTAAAGCTCTAATACTACTAAAATTATGATAGCTTGTATAACGTTTCTTAAAAGTAATTCCTGATTCGCATCAGGGACTAATCTCTTGCTTTTCTTCACATGGACAGCAAGGTCGAACATCAACACTAACATTGCTCAAACGAATATACTCCTTTCACTCCATAATTTTCCACAAATATATTCAACTGAGGCGCCTTAAATGACTTCTTAATATAAATTTACTTTGGTTAGTAAAACTTTCGACAGCGCCAAGTCAAGGCTTGAACTGAGCACATTTGAAATTCAATTTGAATTCGAGTTCGAATTCGAATTCAAAGCAGATGCTTGACTCAGAATGTCATGTGTCAGCGTAGGCTTTGAGTTTGTGGACTCGAAATTGAAATCGGGCCGTCAAGTCACTTCCTAATGAAGGCTTGTGCCATAAGCGAACGTATTTCACTCTCAGTGTTCCGTCGAGTCCTTTGCTTTGGCTGCAATGGCGGCCAACGAACTGATGTTGAGCAGCGGAGTGCGACAGTGATGCCTTCAGTATTCAATGCGGTTAAGTCCTGTTCTCAGCAAGGAGTATAACACCCAGTTGTCATCGAAAATGCAGGTAGTGATCGCTTTGATAAGATCCTTAGCAACGAATCGGCGCAGGAGTCGCCTAAAGAATTGAGCGTCCCACTGCCGAAGGCACAGAGGCAGATACCTCGATGGGACAAATGCGAAACTGTGATAGGGACATAGACAGGATTCTTGGCGAGGAGCAGCCAATGGGTTGTGGAAACTTGCCGAGCCACGCCGTGAATACTCTCAAGAGCTGGAAATACGATCACCGCTATAACGCCTATCCGACCGAGGTGGAGAAAAGTATTCTCTCCCACAAGGACAACATTTCGGCGCAGCAGAAGAAACACGAAGAAGCCCACGCTCCCTGATGCCAGACCTCCAGATCCGAGCACTACTCCGTACTAAGAGAACGCATAGAATCGTAAAAATGCAGATCTGTATTTTATTACTGGATTACAATTTGATGTCTTAATAAATAATTTCTTGCATTGTATGTAGAGCTATGTATGGATGCCTAGGTATATATAGTCTTTGGAGTATCATCTGTAGTCTTAAATACTTATAGGAAGTCTCCTTCCTTGCACTATTTAAAATGTCTTAAGCACGGAAGTTATTGAAGGAATCCACGTGACGAATGGCGCCAAGCAAAGGCACTTTCTCTATGTACACACATACACTTAAATGGAATTCTATAAATAGAATCAAGCTCCTTTCTCTGCAGTTTTCACTCTATAAGACAGTCGTGGTATGGATCGCTGTGATGCCTAAGGGGATTGTGGAGACGCGCAATCGAATGCTGATGCAGAACATTGTTTTTTGCGTTGGCTAACAGATTCTTTACACTTTGGAAGATGTGGCACCTGGTGGTTGTGTCGGGAGAGTCTTAACAATTAATAGGACGAGGTTACTCATGGAATATACATCAAAATTTCAAGTTTCTCTCGGACACTTGAAGCATGAGCTTACAGCATTGCCTAGACACCCGAGATACCCTATAGACTTGAGCTGTCCAAAAGTGAAAATGCCTTTGATATACAAGGAATCAAGGAATATTAGTTTCTTAAAGTGTTTTTCAGTTTGGTAAAATGCATTTTGAATGATTTACTCTCCGCAACTCCCTTAAGTTTTGACAGCAATCAAAGATCGCAGCACGACAATGTTTCTAACCTATCAGCTTTGAATTTCATTCGAATTTCGTTTTGAGCAAATGACATTGTACCACTGTGCAGTGCGAGCAGCATGCAAGTAGCTCGCAGCTTGAAACTGGTGATTAAAGAACGTTTAAACAAACGTTTTGCAGACCAGGTACAATACGTACAGCTCGGCTCTAGGCGATCGAGTGTTAGGGGCGTCGGGGCTTATGTCATGCAAATACCCATGCTCTATTTGTCGCGTTTGGGTTTTGGTTTCCTCGTTGTTGAGTCGGGCGACAATGCTGGCAATTATATGAGTCGAGTCGAGTGGAGTCGAGGACCACATCATAATCGAGCATGCACACAGGTAGTTATCAGCACGCTATAAGGCAGCGGGCAGCCCCAATTAGAACACTTAACACCTGGCCAGGTGCAGGAACCGTAGGAGGGGCGGCCACTGCATAGCAAAGCATTTCGTAATAATTTAATAACCATTTTTTTTTTATTTTTGAGCTGCATAGAACGGGCACTCGGCGCTGTCGAAGTCAATCAATGTGTTGTGTTAGTTGTAGGATTTGAAATTGAATTTAATTAAAGTTGATTATTATGACAAAATGATTAATTAAGTCAATTTGAGACGCCCACTTGGGCCAGCCGAGTTGGCCGGCCAAAAGGCCTAGATATCTAACAACATGCAGATACGCATATGTTAACACATACGTGTGCACATGTGCCTGGCCGTGTCGCGCCAGCAGGCAGCGTCCAAGTGTCGTTGTTAATGATTATTGAAGCTGGCGACATGTCTGCCTGCTAAATTGTTGCTAATGTCTTGCCATAATTCAATGCAAGCGTCTCATAAACAAACAACGTTGTTAACGCGACTCCCGCGAGCAGGAGGTCGGCAGGGACTGGGACGGCAATAGCTGCATGGGAGAGGGGGCAGGTGGGCAGGTGGGCAGGTGGGCAGGTGGGCGGACGCTATCAGTTGCAAGTGTTGAAGTCATAAATCTGCATAATGATCGTGTCTATGCGGGCCTCTCTCTGTGCGTCTGAGTTGGCCAACAAAGTGCGTGTGAGTTGTCAAATGGTCGAAAGGGGTTGGCTCTTCCCTTCTCTTGCGGCACAACAAGTATTCAAGATCCTGTAAAGAGGCTGAGTCCATCTCTGTTTAGCTGTGCAGTCAGGGAGTCTCTACCCAACTGACTTCGTTTACTTTAATGCAACAAATCCCTTCTCATGTTTCATGGGCTGAGACGTACTTCAAGACATTTTCACAACTTTCAACTTTGACTGAATCAGTTTCATTGCCAATTCGAGTGCAAAGCGTTCGCTTAACACGCTTAATTCAAATTGTAATTTGTCTGCGCCACAATTAAAACATATGCTGCATGCCCCACCTGCGTCGCCACAAACTTGATTAGCACGAATTGCGCTATAAGAGACTTTAGAGTGCCATAAAAGAGCTGAACATAGATGCTGGCTTGTCTCTCTGTCTGTCTGTCTCTCTGCCTGTTTGTCGCCCCTTAACTGGAGGCGATTAGTTGGTGAGCCGAAGAATGCTTAAGCCATCCATATTTGCGCAGATCAATTTGGCCAAGACGCGTGACAAACGACTCGAGCACAAGACGTGCAATGGTTCAGCATTGACTGCAGATGGAAATGGAAATTGATTTGGAGGAAGAGGGCGACAGATTCAGATGAGGTCAACAGGATGCAATCAAGGCGATGCGGCTGCTATAATTGCGCTTTACGGTTCGTTAGAATGCCTAAAGTGTTCGAAATACTTGGAAACACAATGAATTGAACAGGAAGCGCATAAATTATGTCAAAAAACCACAGATATAGCTACAGATGGAAGTGCGACTGCAGCTACAGATACAGAAACAGCAACTGAGAACAAATGTATGCAATGGCAATTTGCAATTTTTCAATTGAGAGCACAAACTGTTATTTGTGACGCGAGAGACCTGCATTTGGCATCAATCAGAGGCTGTTCGAGCTTATGACAAGTTTATTGCAACAACAGATACAGATACAGATACAGATACAAGTGGCGACACAGTCGCCGTGGCAGCTCAGACAGTTGCTGATCTGTGCTGATCTTATCCGGCTGACATATGTGACATGGGCAATGTGATCGATTGATCGGATCGATGGGGCCACCGCGTGTGGCTGCCACAGCGGCAACAAGCGATTGACGCGAACACGACAGGGCGACCTGGCCAGCTGCCAGCAGCCAACAGCCAAAAGCCAATTGCCAACTGCCAACTGCCAACTGCCTGGGCGCATTCATAACGGCAGCAATTGAATTAGAATTGAAGGGAAAATGCTGACCTCCAGCAGGAAAAAACCTACCAAAGTTTTTCTTTTTCTTAGTTCACTTTAATTCACATAAAATACTTAAAAGTTTATAGCCAAAAGATTGCTTGACTTTACTCTTATTTACAGGAAAAGTCACCTTGAACTATAGAGGACTTTAGAAATGGCTTAGCTTAAGGCAGAAAAAACCAAGTCTGCCAAGCGGTGTTATAATTTTTGATAGAACTATAAAAAAACGAATTCTTCATTTAAAGTATTCAGAAGAATTAGGAAGAAAGTCGCACTCAACGAAACTCGACTTCACAATGCTTGTAAACCGTCCAAAAGCAGCTGAATTTATTCAAGAATCCATATTTTCAGATTTTCTACGCTTCAATGGGTTAATCAAGGCTGTCTATAGATTGGGTTAACTGCGATCCACTCGCGCGAACCTTGAAGATTCTAGCTCCAAAATTGACTTAGTCATTCCCTCTATGTGCTTGTGTGTCTCTCCATTCTTCCCACCATCTTTTTCTAACTCATCCTTAATTTCTCGCTACTTCTCGCACTCTCATTCCCTTTCCCTCTCTTTCTTTCTGTCTGACTCTCTTTCTCTCCGTCGCTCTCTATCTGTCCACCTCTCACATTCCCTATTTTTCTCCTTCTCTCACATAGTTTACCTGCCGATCTAATCCACATTACTGTTACTAATCGAGCCCTCTCACCTGTTTAAGCTATCGCTCAATTATCATTCAATTTTGCTTGTCATCGCAGAGGTAGATTGAATAAAAAGGTTAATATGTCCATTGAATATATACATCAGGCATAGTCGAGAGTCTCTTAAGGGGTTTTTATTATGTTATTATTTTGCCATGAAATATGATTATTTTTGTACTTAATATTTCCATTTTAGCCCCAGTGGCACGCTCGCAACATATTTCCATCGGGTTTCTCGGCATCTGCTCGGGCCTTAGCAATTTTAAAAGATTCATTTCACAGATACTCGCAATGTTCATGGGTTTTTGCAATTTCAATAAACAATTTCCTCATTTGCTGCGATCGAAAATAAATGAAATAATGTTAACATAATTGTAATCTCAAATTGTTTGACCCAAAGCGAAATGTGTGCCACGCCCCTCATCAAGCTGTGATCCAAATGCGCCGATAAGTTCCTAATAATATGAGCAAAGTTGTGAGCGAGCCTCAAGCGAATATATGTAAAAGAGAGAGAGAGAGAGAGGGAGAGACACATACACACACGTGATGTTGCATCATTGACAAAATTGTGTGGCATGATTTGGAGCGCTGATTGTTTCCATAATTTGAGCATCAAAATAAATAAACAATTGCAAAATGCAAGCAATTTGCCAGCACAAATCCAGTCAAGCTAACAGTACACAGTGCGTATACGCATTTATCTGATGAGTCGAACACAATCTAAGTGAATTAAACTAACTCAAGATCAATAAAATTTCAATTTGTGAGAAAATAAATTTGATTTTTTTTCTCTTTTACTGGAACTTTTTACTGAATATTTCATTAATTAATTAAGGTAGGTTCTGAGCTGAAAGCCAACTGCATTTATTCTGATCCAAGATCAAAAGGCAGCTGCAGCTCAGTTGGGCACTGAAAATTGGATTGCAAATTAAGCAGGATCGGCCAGAAGTTTAAGAAAGTCCTCATAACTTACAGCTTCGCAGTGGCTCAGTAGCCAGTTCACATTGCGAAGGTTCCGATACGCTGTGTTCATGGACTCTAAATAAATTCCGATAATTTTCTGCTGTCGACGGCTGCCCGCTGAGTGTTATGCTGATTGGCTGACAACGGGGTGCGCTGACACTTGCTCGAGCGCTCGGTCGGAATCGGAGTTGGAATTGGAATTGGAATTGGAATTGGAGTAGTCGGAGTCGATGTTGGAGCTGCAGTCGGAGTCCGGCCAACCTTGGATACGTGTGTTCGTGTGTGTGTGAA